TGAACTACACATAAACTTTTCTTCAAAGTTCAGAGTTAAATCAGGCATCTGACAAGAGCACAATATTCAGGCAGTGTTCTACACTGCACAGTACCTTTTAAATATTTCTCTCCATGCTTTTTCAACATAGCAAAGATGTGAAGACTATGAGCGTGTGGGAAGCGATGGAGGTGGGAGGATTGATTTTTTTTAACAGAAGGACACAGAACATTTGCTTCCTTCTTTTTTCAAAAAATCTGGTGCTTGTATAATTAATATAAAATTTATTATAAAGATTTCACACAGATTGATGAAAAAAGATAATACAAAACCAACCATGTGTGTAGACATGTGTATGTACAATTATATAACGATATCTACATGTACACTTTTTATACTAAAAGAACTACTATATCAATGCCTTTAATTCTTTAAATTTCATTAGCCCAAGTTTACAGGGGAATACGTACTAGATTGTTTCCTTTTCTTACTAAAACTTTTGATTTGTTTAATAAGACAAGAATCAGAACTTACATTTTATTTCCTTAAACTGACAGAAAAATACCTGTCATTTACCAATAGCATGAATGATGCCCAAGTGACAGAAACAGGTGGAATAATTTCACAATGGAAATATCCAGGGTATAAAAAACAAGTCTGAACTCAGGCACATTTGACCTAAGCGATTGATTTCTAAATGTAGCTGCCTTGATTAGTTGTATAACCACAGGGTAAGAGTCCTAAACTATCAGAAAGTGAAAAATTGAAAAGACAACATGATAGAATATAATGAGAGACTATTTGGCCTATATAGTCAATCATTTCTTAATACCTTTCCCTCTCCCCTCCTTCCCCTTCTCTTTCCATTAAAAAAAAAAAAAAGAGTTGCCACTGAGTCGATTCCGACTCATGGAGACCCCATGTGTGCCAGAGTAGAACTGTGCTCCACAGGGTTTTCAACGGCTGATTTTTTTGAAGTTGACCAGGACTTTCTTCCGAGGTGCCTCTGGGTGAACTTGAACTGCCAACCTTTTGGTTAGCTGATGAGCACGGTAACCATTTGCACCACCCAGGGACTCCTATCTTCCCAGAGCTAAGCAGAAATGGGGCCAGGTGACTTTGACCACCTGCCTGAAACCTGCACTGTGCCTTGATTTATAAGACAGGCTACAGAGAGAATTTTAATCATGTCATTTGTGCATTTAAAAGTCTCCCGTCACATTCCATTACTCATCTGAGACTGAGTCAACAGGACCTAATCACTTCAGTGGCTGTAAATGGCTCCTGCCCGGCAGGGTCAGCCAACAGCATAAGGTATAATCTGTTTCATCAGAATGAACTGGCTCATCAACACATGACAGAGTGACCCTCTGGCCACTGTAAACAAACAGTTAGTTTTATTTTCCAAATTTGGAAATGCTAACAAGTGTTTTAGCATTGCTTTCGTCCATCTGATATGGCTATAATAACAGATGACTACTGAACAGGCCAGGACTGATTAAGTGTCTGGCTGACAGACAGAGAGCACAAGACACGTGGGAGCGGGCCACTTCCCAGGCTGTGTTGTTTCTGAAGCAGGCACTTTCAGCTCTGGGTTCAGACGGACAACAGAAGACCCAGTAATTCAAAACTGTGTAAAAGCCGCTTCATCTGGCCCATTTCAATGCATATCTCTGATGTTTACTATATGCAACTTTTAACTGACCGCCTTATGGCCCAGTGCAAATGTTCTTAATAAAAGCAGATTAGGAAAAGAAAGGGTTTAGAGGGGAGGGTCAGGTACGCAGGACTAGCATCGGTATACGAGGCACAGTGAGAATGCTACACCTGTTAAAAGTCACCTTTGTGCCTGATGTGATGGACAGGTTAGGTAGACTCTAGTCGCAGGTGACTTGTCCTTCTTGGTTAATATTTGTTTCTTTGTGATAAAAGTGAAATTGTCTTGAAATAGAAAGCAATGTGATATGGATTAGTCCCAAGATAAAAAACGGGACAACCAATGGCTTCAGGTTGTGCTATAGGGATTTTATCAGCGTCCCTTCCCAGGAGAGGATAGAGGGTTTTAGAAGGAACAGAACCTGCAAGAAATGCGGTGGGATGTTATTTATTATGAACTACTCCACAGAAAGGCCGTGTGTGCCCTGCAGATCAGTCACTGTGGCACACAGGGATTTAACAAGGTCTGGTAAAACAGTGCCACTTAGGGCCAAGCTGGATAATACTAGACGCAGTCTTCCTGTGAGCCTAACATTTCTGAGACTTCTTAGAACACCCAGCCAAGAGTATATGAAAACGTGTACTACATTTTCTGAATGTTTAACAGATCATGATTCCCAAGCATCTTTAAGGCCATAATAAATTCAGATTTTTTTACTTAAATTTTCCTTTACGCTCTTCAGTCTTTCTTGGACCCTCATTGAGACTGCAAGTACTTTTTAAAATTCCATGCATTACGACCAAATGCTATTCCCCAGCTCTGAAGTATGTTCTGGGGCTTTTGAACTTACTTGTTTACACTGAGCTCCAGAAATGATCCTCTAGTCAAGTTTTCATGACCCCCAACGGGGGTAGTTGAGGATAATAAGGATGCCCGCAAGTAAATCCCCTAGGAAGAGTCTAAAAGGAACTTAAATAGACTCGGGCATTTAAAGGCCAAGGCCTGGAAGATCGAAGTTCCAAGGAGGCCTGTTCATCCCTCATTAATGTCCAGTCGTTACTGAACTTACTACATGCATAAATATGCGTACAAGATGAAGCTCTTTCAGGAAATTAGAAGGAAAAGGTGGCTTGACAACGCCTACTCAGACTTAAGTTGATGCATAGGACAAAATTATCTATTCCTTCCCATAGTCTAGAAACAAATCTCTCAAGGTTGGCTTCTACTAGACGTCATGGGTAGCCCTTTTTAATTACCCCTACTTCACTATTACAGTAAGCCCCACGAGATTTCAGTTCATCTACAGGATTTCTGATGAGTAGATTAGCCAAACAGAAGCTGTCAGTTTCTGTAAACCATCCTTGCTAAAAAAAACAGTAGTCTTCATAGCACTCTGGGGGAAAAAAATCCTGAAACAAACTTTTTCACTTAACTCTCCTAACATTCACACCTCGCAAGGAAGAACATACTTAATTAAGCTGCTATTTATTGTCAATGCCAAGAAAAGTCTTAACTGTACCACGGAGATGTATTTTGGTTATATACGGAAATAGCGTGTTTAATTAAGGTATTCTAAAACATCAGTGTTTCACTATGTTCATTGCAAAAAACTGTTTTTCACTCAAATTCCTATAAAAGGCCGGACCCACTGGACCGATAAAGACTAGAGGAACCCCCGAGACTATTGCTCTAAGATAGATACCCTCTGAACTTGGAATTGAAGCGGTTACTGCAGGTCACCTTTCAGCCAAATAACAGATTGGCTTATAAAATAAACAATGTCGCCTGTGAGCAATGTGCTCCCTTAAACAATTAACTGTACGAGAACAAACAGTCAACAGTTACCCAAAAGCAAAGATGAGATGGCAAGGAGAGGAAAGGAAGCTAGATCAATGGAAACAGAACAAACAGAATGGAAATAACGAGAACAGCGACACATTCTAAAAATTGAACCAAGGGCATGAAACAAGTTGTATAAAAATTGTTAAAGGGGAACCTAATCTGCTGTGTAAACTTTCACCTAAAACACAATAAAATATTATTAAAAAAATTGTGGTTTTCAACGTAGCAGTGGCAGAAGCTGAGATTTAAAAAAACAAACAAACAAAAAAACCCAACTCTGAGTATCTCTAACACAGTGGGATGAAAATTCGCCCTCTAGCTGCGTTTCCCTTGGAAGCGTGTATTTTCCTTGCTGTTCAAGAGCAATGCTTTCACATAATTTTATTTAACTATATGGCTTTGTCACGCTGCTGACAGAAAACGTATCTGTGAAAGCAAGGATTGGACTCCTAAATGTTTGTCTATAGGAAGAATTGTGTAAAGTTCAGTGCACAACGCTATTTCCCAATAGCTGACGTTAACCTGCAAAACATCTGTATGAGCGCCAGCTAGGTGTGCGTCACAACAGCACCAGACGATGCCTCTGCAGTCCTTCCTTCAACACTGAGAAGAGCAAGGGGGGGCCTGCACTCCCTCGTTGTGCTGGAGTAATTGTCAGTGTGTGCATATCTGGGTCTGAAAGGGCTGTGGGGTGGACTTGCAGGCGAGGTGGTATAAGGCAGAAAAGCCGGAGCCAGGATAGGTCCAGTCTAGCCCCGCAGCCCCGAGACTCCCTATTCATTTCCCAGTGATGGGCCTCTCAGTCTGTGGGATACTAACTTTCCTTGTCATGGAATGAAATGCTGCAGAAAAACAGTGTCTCCCTAGAGCTGTTCAGGGGTTGGTTTTTTTCTTGGCCCGCTCAAGACTGATGTTTTATGGTGTCAGAAATTTACCCTGATAAGCAAAGAGGAAATCACTGTGCAGGAAAGTGAAGCAGGGATGGGTAATGCAACCCTGTTGGATATGTGGGGGATTTTCACTGCTAAAAAACACGTCTAAGAGATAAATCAGACATTCGCCACAAAAACCAGGATATTTAATGACAGATGTATGTGCAAGTCCCACTCTAGCTGCTACAGATACCGTACCCCAAGTTGGATGTTTTGAGCATAAACCATTTCTTAATTTCAGTATCTCCCTAAAGCTGTAGTTGATAACAAGCCTGATACTGCGTACCTCTGGCATAAGAAAGTGTTAATGTTTTTGGAGGTGTCATACCCATGGTTATACATTTGTTTTCTTTCTAGCTACCCATTTTTTGCATCTTTCTAGAGCTTTTTTTTTTTTTAATTCCATTTCTATATTCAAAGCAGTAATAAATACTCAATGGCTTAAGAAGAGAAAAATTCTTGTGGCCATCACTGAATTACAGTTTACAGACTCAAGACGACATTGTCTAAAATATATCTTCAAGTATTCTTTTGTGACACAGAGTATACCAGTAGTATTTGATTGCACATTGATTCCCTAAAGCCCCTTGTTAAGAGTGTGGAACAGGGTTGGGTGCAGGGCAGCTTACGGCCCAGAGCCCCGGCAGGGTCACCTTCCCCTTCTGATGCAGATCCTCCTGGACCCCCGTGTTCATACGCTGCACCAGGAGCTTCTCGTACAGCAGCGGGTGGTACGCACCGAGCGTGCAGGCTGCGTCGTAGTACAGCTCGTGATAGTGACAAAGTTCCGTCTGCCGGATGGATGGGATGTATTCATACACGTGCACTTCTCTGCACACAGACATCATGATGAGGATTCCTGAAATGAACATTAGATTTCTTTTTTGAGTGGTGATGAGGAACGGCTGGGGGCAGGGGGTACTTGCTTTGTATTCACTTTCTTGTTAGCTTTACACTTGGAATATCACAACTTCCACTACGTAATGTGTATGCAGTTCATGGGGAATGGGGGCATACTGGGATGTGACACCATACACAGTCACTTGTTAGATTGATTTCTGGGGGCAGAGGACCAGAGATGAAAAGCCTACATCATTGACCCTTAAGGAGACTCGAAACCAAAAACCAAACCCATTGCCGTCGAGTTGATCCCGACTCATAGTAACCCTACAGGACAGAGTAGAACCACCCCATAGGGTTTCCAAGGAGTGGCTGGTGGATTTGAACTGTCTACCTTTTGGTTAGCAGCTGTAGCCCTTTACAACTGCGCCACCAGGACTCCTTAAGGAGACCAGGAGACCACAGTCTAGTGAGTGACAGATTTGCCACCCACGTTACAATATAATGTATTACATTATACACACGTGTCCAGCTTGATTTGCTGTTGCATTATCCAGTCATATTATATATGCAAGTACAGTCTGATTTGCAATAGTAAGATCATGTTCCAAAGAAATAAATGTTATGAAAAATTGATTATAAAAGAGCTGATTATTATAAATTGATCATAAAATAGTTGTTTGAAGAGTTGTAAAACTGAACTGTAAAATGGAACAACTGTTCTAAAATGGTTGGCTAAATGGAAAGAAATGGAGTTAGGCAATTCAGAGTTTAAGATTCGTATTAACAAAGTTATTTTTCTCACTGACACTATCAATATTAAAGTTTTTTTTTTTTAATGTTTCAGATAGCTGGCTAGAAAACCTAATAACCATTGTTCAAATCTAATTTCTGATCCAGGCTAAAGGGCTTTCTCTTCCTAGCACCACCAGTCCCATCCGTAACTCGAAACATTTTTAAAAAATGTTATCCTTGTTATAAAGAAAATAAAGCCACATAGTTAGATCCTGTTATTATCAATATGTCTGCAGAAGACAATCACATTCCCCAATTAACCAACTGTGTTTACATCAAGAAAACTCCCACAGCCAGAGAAATTCCTGTATAAGAGGAGCTAGACAAGAGAAGGAGCCAAATTTTGCCTGAGGGATCCAGAAAGGATTCCCAGAGAAGGTACAGCTTCTACTTAATGGAGCTGCCTGGTAGACAAGGAGTGTAAGGAAACAGGAGGGATGCTGTTCCAGAAGACAACAATGGCTGGAAGATTTTAAAGATGTGAATTTAGAGCCATGACACAGTATTGAGGCTGAGAGTAAAACTCATCCCTAACAATGGGAAACGGATAATGAAGTTCAAATTCTATGAAGCCAAGTTGTCTTTAAGAGCTATGTCAAAACTACAAGTTACTTGTTAATGCCTCTCTTTTTCCTATTGGTTCTACCAGTGCATCCTCATCTTCCACTGCTGACCTGCTGTACCCGCTGTGGCCCCTCTCTCGGGCTGGCCCAAAGTGACCGTGACACAGGCGGAGCTAAGAAAGAGCAATGAAGGACCAGCACACACTTCCAGAAATCACCCAGGAGTAGCTGTGCTTCCTGGACTTTTGGCAAGTGGACGCCAGCATGGGAACGTGCCGTCCAGATGATGAAGAAAGCACCTCTCCTTCTGATAAGCAGTTCCCCCTCTATGAACCTTTCTCCTCCTCTGCATAAACTCGTCTGTAAGGAATGGACATGGTGACTGAGAAAGCCATCTGCCCAGAGACAGTGAAATTCCATTTTATTCACAGTTATTCCTGAAACAAACAAGAAACCCTCCGGTAGGTATGTTTCCTCTAGATGGAAGTTTTTGCAGGGATTTTGGTCGGTGGCGTTGATGATGGCTTCTGTGATTTTTCATGGGGGCTGAGAAGCAAGTTCCTGAATATCACCCCTTTGCTGACTGCTCTTCCTCACCTGGGCATGGCATACGGCTGTGCAGGCTGGGCGAAGGGAATTACGTCTAAGGAAGTGTCGTTGACATCATGGACATCATTGATTCATATATTTCTATACAACCATTTGCCTGAAGATGGCAGTGAAGTGACTTCAAAGGTGTCTTGTGGACAAAGGCATCTTACGAAGTAGCAGTGGAACTGTACCTGGAAACCACACTTCCTCTAGAGACTGCTGCCCGGGAGTTTCCATGACCTGGCAATACAATCTCATCTACGGAACCGTAATCAATTGGGTCTAAGCTGTCATCTTCACAAGACTGTTGCTATTAAAGTGGATGGCTTGCAAAAGGCTGTTGTTGTTAGGTGTTGTCGAGTTGATTTTTGACTCATAATGACCGTATGTGACAGAGTAGAACTGCCCCATAGGGTTTTCCTGGCTGTACTCTTTCCAAGAGCAGATCACCAGGTCTTTCTCCCGCAGAGTCGCTGCACAGGTTCGAACTGCCAGCCTTTCAGTTAGCAGCCAGGTGCTCAACTGTTGTGCCACCAGGGCTCCTTGCAAAAGGTCACATCCATTTAAGGCGAAACTTGGGTAGATTTCCTAAGTGTCCTTTCTATCATTCCGGTCTCAAAGAACTTCTGTATGCTTGAATCTAAATACTTTTTCTCAAAAAATTTTCAGAGAAAATTTTTACTGTTTCTGTTAGTCAATTTTTACCTCAAAACCCATACTTGTTAGATGTAGGCAGTCCCTGGGTTACAAACATCTGACTTATGTACAATTTGTAGTTACAAACCAACCCCTGTAAAGCCTATTCTATTAAATATTTGAGGTACGTAAAAGGGTTTGTCATAACAAATGGGCACTACTTTGTGACACACATCAAAACATTATTATTTTTATTATTGTATTACGTTAAAGATATTTTAGTGTATCTGGAAGTGTTTGATTTTTTTATGCATAAAAAGGTATACTATGTACTATACGGGAGCCCTGGTGGCACAGTGGTTAAGAGCTTGGCTGCTAACCAAAAGTTTGGCAGTTCCAATCCAGCAGCCACTCCTTGGAAACCCTATGGGGCACTTCTACTCTGTCTTACAGGGCCGCTACGAGTGGGAATGGACTTGACGGCAGTGGGTTTTTTATATACTATACGCTAAGAAAAACATTTGAGTAACTGATGTTAGATATGAACCATACCTAACCATTCCAACTTATGTACAAATTCGACTTAAAGACAGACTTAGGACTGGAACTCGTTTGTAATCCGGAGACTGCCTGTATACGATAAGTTTTTTGTGTTAAGACTAGGCAAAAAAGTTACAGTTTTGTTGTAATTAAACAGGCACATACTTAGTATTTTCCTATGTAATGGTTTGTATTTTAAAATAATTTCTAGAGCTTCAGAAATAAGGGGATTTGTCCGTTTAAAAGTGAGTTATGCATAATTCCTCCTGATTTTTGCCAGTCCAGTGGAGATTTAGCAACAATGGTTTCATATCACGTTTTGTACTCTCAAATGAATGTATGGCTTCTTGTAACTAAATTTTAAGTAACAGAAGAATCTGCCCTAAATGTTTAAATGGCAGCCAGCTGCAGTATAGGTATCAGAATTGGTAGAGAAGCACCTTCAAAGGGAAGGGAAAATTTTATTGGTCAACCTGTTGGGTATATGTGAAAGGTGGACAAGGGGATTTACAGACTAAAAAGAGGAGACTATTTTTTAATATTTTAAACTTTTTTCAGTCAGTATGGTCAATTTAGTTGGCATATGCATAGTTAGATTTTTAATTTTCTTAAGGCCATTATTACTCATAAATTGGAGTTTACATTCAGATGGTCACATACTGGATACTGAAATCATATTCTTAATGTGATGAAGTCTCCATTTCAGTTTTCCTAAGAGTTATTAAACCAAAAATCAAACCTGCTGCCATCAAGTTGATTCTGACTTGTAGCAGCCCTATAGGACAGAGCAGAATTGCCCTGTAGAGTTTCCAAGGGGGATTCAAACTGCTGACATTTTGCTTAGCTGCTGAGTTATTAGAAATACATAAAACCTGCAAATGAACTTTTTTCATGCTTCACCACAAAAAATTAGGTAGACAGCACTGTTTCGAGGTATGCAATGGCTCTGGCACAGTTCAGGGTACGGTTTCAGGACGTGGGGTTGCGTGGGCAGTGGCTACTGTGGGAAGGCAGGGTTGGCACAGAACTGTGTGAGGCTAGAGCCTAATGTACTGCTGGAGGCCTCTTGAATTAACTGCAATGTTTATCAAACTGGGTGCAGCACTAATCATTGGGAATTGAGAGGAAGCGTCTTTAAAAAAAAAAAAAAAACTAAATTAAATTAAACTAAGGAATTCCACCACTAGCAGAAAGGTTCGTTCCCACCCAGAGGCACCTCGGAAGACAAGCCTAGAGATCTACTTCCAAAAGGTCAGTCTTGAAAACGCTGTGCAGCGGTTCTACTCTGCACGCACGGGGATGCCCTGCGTAGGACACAATTCAATAGCAACTGACAACAACCACAAAAACTTTATTTTCAATTTCAAGACAGGAGGAAACCTGTGACCTACAACTGAGTGTGTGACGTGGAGCCTTGTCGTCCACAAATGAGGTAAGTAAACACACATGGCTCCCAGATATTACCCAAACCACCACCGACAAGGCACTGTGTCAAGAGGGCCCCAAGACCATTCCCAGGTTCGATGACTCTGAACTGGGAGGATTCACAGGACTCAACATACAATTGTACTGATGACTATGATTTATTACGGCAAAAGGATAAAAAAGCAAAATAAGCAAAGGGAAAAGGTGCATGGGATGAAGTTCAAGGAAAACCAGGCACATGCTTATGAGTCCTCTGCCAACGGAGTCGTACAAGACGTGCAACAAGTATGACAACATGTGTGAAACGTTGCCAACCAGGGACGCTTGGTAGAGAATCAGCACCCAGGGTGTTTACTGAAGGTTGGTCACATAGGCAACTTCTGCCTGGCATGTTCCAAAATTCAAGACTCCCAGGAGGAAAGCAGGTGTTAACAGTATGAAGCATGCTGTTCAATAAACAGTGAGCCCT